CTCCTCCCCCTCCCCCTCCTGCCCCTTCTATCCCACAGACTTAAGAGCTGGATGCTGCTCCCTACACTGCCAAGCTGCACTCCTGGCCGCATGCGTGCTGCAGCTGTGCCCATGCATGTGGCATTTATTGGCGACATTATCGGCCACATCAGCCAAAAAAAGCTGATTGCCAATAATGTCAATTTCACTTCTTTTGGTTCCGATATGATATGGACTGATGTATTGGTGCACCTCTATAAGAAAGTGGTTAAACTTCATAGTTTCATCATTGGTAGGGTCGGAAGGGACCTGATCAGATCATCAAGTCTGACCCCCTGCCATGGCAGGAAAGAGTACTGGGGTCAAACGACCCCAGCAAGGTGTTCATCTACCCTCCTCTTAAAGTGCCCCAGGGTAGGAGCCAGCACCACTTCACTTGGAAGTTGGTTCCAGGTCCTAGCTGCTCTGGCAGTGAAGTAGCGCCTCCTGATGTCTAGTCTGAATCTACCCTTTGCCAGCTTGTGACTGTTATTTCTAGTCACTCCTGGTAGTGCTCGGGGGAACACGGACTTCCCCAATGCCTGCTAGTCCTCTCTGACTAGTTTGTAAATGGCCACTAGATCCCTCCTCAGCCTTCTCTTGTGGAGGCTGAACAGGTTCAGGTCCCTTAGCATCTCCTCGGAGGGCCTGCCCTGATGACCCCTAATCATGTGAGTGGCCCTCCTCTGGACCCTCTCCATATTGTCCACATCTCTCCTGAAGTGCGGCACCCAGAACTGGACGCAGTACTCCAACTGTGGCCTGACCAGTGTCAGATATAGGCTGCAATTGGACCTAGACAGGTTACAGGGGTGGGCAGATGAGAACAGGATGGGTTTCAACACTGACAAGTGCAAGGTACTGCACCTGGGGAGGAAGAACCAGCAGCACACCTACAGGTTGGGGAACTCCCTTCTCATCAGTGCAGAGGCAGAAAAGGATCTTGGAGTCATTATTGATGCCAAAATGAACATGGGCGACCGTGTGGGGATGTGTTCAGGAAGGCCAACCACACCTTGTCATGCATCCACAGATGCATCTCGAGCAGGTCCAAGGAGGTGATCCTCCCCCTCTATGCAGCATTGGTAGGCTAAGGGACCTGAACCTGTTCAGCCTCCACAAGAGAAGGCTGAGGGGGGATCTAGTGGCCTGTTACAAACTAGTCAGGGGGGACCAGCAGGCATTGGGGGAGTCCCTGTTCCCCCGAGCACTACCAGGAGTGACTAGAAATAACGGTCACAAGTTGGCAGAGGGTAGATTCAGACTAGACATCAGGAGACGCTACTTCAGTTAGAGTGGCTAGGACCTGGAACCAACTTCCAAGAGAAGTGGTGCTGGCTCCTATCCTGGGGGTCTTTAAGAGAAGGTTAGACAAACACCTTGCTGGGGTCGTTTGACCCCAGTACTTTTTCCTGCCACGGCAGGGGGTTGGACTTGATGATCTGCTCAGGTCCCTTCCGACCCTACCAACTATGAAACTATGAAACTATGAAACCTCATTAATTCACAGAATTGTTTTTCAGAAAAATTACAGGAAGAGAGAAATGGTATTTATCATGTTCCAAGAATCTTTCTGTTAACACATTATATAGAAGAGAGCAGATTACCTTCACAGTTGATTCTATCACTGCTTAACTCAAATCCTGGATTACACTGACAGATGAAAGAACCAAGTATATTGTAACATTGTTGCGCACATGGGTTATTGGCATCACATTCGTTTATGTCTGAAAGGAAACATTACATATCTTTATCCACATTGAGGTCTTTGAATCCGGTAATTAAACTGATTAAGTGGATTAGTTGTAGTTTGGGTGCTTTGTTCTGCAGCCCAGTAAACTATCTCAGTAGACTCTGCAGCTGCTGGAACGATGTCAGATCTGTGCTTTTCATTCCTTGCAGAAAAACTGGAATATTTTTCCAGGAATGAGAGTTATTCTAATGTGTAATGAACTCTTCCAAAATGTTTAGTGCAGCTATTAAACTCCACATTCCAGCATCTTTTTTCAGGTATGAAATGCCAAGTCTATAAATAATTGATATAAGGAACACGAACTGATAAGACCTCTCAGCATGCAGTGGTTAAGATTTATCTGAGCTATTTATTACTCCTAAAATCTGTTCTTTTAAATTCCTTTTCAATTATAACATGCGCCTTTGAGACAAGTAGAGAGTTTTGCAATGCTCCAAGGCATAGACCATATTGGGGGAAGGCATTTTTCTATGTTAGATTCTTTCCATGATATGCCCATCTTAAGAACATATGTGAGGACAATGCAGTCTGAAAAGAGAAGGAAGGCATTTTCAATGGAAAGTTTGTGAACATGAAATTTCAGTATCTTTATCTGGAATCTTTAATACTTATTTTTCATATACTGTTGACTTTTTAAGTGCATACAGAGGAACAGTGAAGGAGAAAAAGCTTCCCATTCACTTTTTGATGTGTTTTGTAAGAAACCATCATTACTGTAATTCTAATGTTTTTCTATTTTTTTGTGGAATTTTCAAATGCTTGCAAATTATGTCAGCAATAGCTATCTGCAGATACTAATACAATTGACAAAACTCTTTACTATATTCAAAGAATCTGTTAGAATCAGCTAAAGTCGGGAGTAAAATATTTGGCGTCTATGATTTATGAAGGCTTCTAGTTTAAAATGAATAGGGGAGAATGCTTATATATTGCTTCTATAGTTAGCTTTTAGCAAAAATGTAGTGAAGTTTATATGAAAACAATATTATTAGAAGCACTAAGTGAAAAGGTGGAAAATTCAATTTGTGAATATTCTTCTCTAGAGAAATTGTTCTACACACATGTATCCAGTAAAGATGTGATGTATAACAGTTACAGTCGTAACCTCTGACATATATTTGCGAAGTTACCTCTTGAGATAGGACAGCTTATACTTCCAGGTTGGTAAAGGTCAATGGATGGAGATGCCTGTAATACATCTGATACTGTTCTGGAGTTATAACAACAATGACCTCTAAAGAAATGTTCTTTAGAAACCAGGGACTGTGCCTTTTCCGTCCCCAGTCCTCATCTCAGTTCCAAAAGCATTCAATTTCCCACTCCAGTAGGGGAGGAGAGAGAGAGCCCATGGTTTCTAAAGAAGATTATTGTTGTTACAACTCCAGAAGGATGCTTAGTGTAATACAGGTGCTCAAAATCAAGGAATATTTGTCTTATGTATTTAAATAACCATTAGTTTAGCTATATTCAGTGAAAACAGATTCCTTCCAAACTCTCAGAGTCTGAACCCATACAATAACAGATGATATGGAAACATATATAGCTTCTTTGGTAAATGGAGTAGATTTTCCCATGAAAATATAGAAATAAATATATTCCCATAAAAGTATAGAAATAAATATATTCTTGACCCCTGAAAAATCATCCTGCTTATATGTTTAATTTTTAGAAATAACTTTCTTCTACTAAGTATTTACTAAGGAAACAGTCATGTGAAAGTAGCTTGCACCTTGTTAAGCAAACCTCTTTGCAGCCCAATGTCCTCCTTTAATCATTAGAAGACTTTGAGTCAATAATAATAATCTTGTTGATTTTGTCAAACTCTGTTGCAATCAACTATCAGACCTCCCTCAGAAATTTACTTACAAAAGTCTGAATATGATTCCCTAACTCCTTCAGTTTTAGGTTTCAAATTACTTCTCAAAGGTTCGTATCTGAGATGGAAAGAGCTGAATTCTGTTATTGTTACATAAACCATGTGCTACAGAGAATAAATACATGGAATCATTTCTTCTAGTTTCCAGCTATAGGGCCTGATTTTACTTGGACTGGTGTAAATCAGGAGTAACTCCATCAAAGACATTGAAGCATTAATATAAAACCAGCACAGTTGAAAGGAAAATTTGGCTTCAGATTAAATAATGAATTTCACTCCCTGATGTTCAAAGAACCAAATTTATGGCATACAGAAGCCAGCTTGCCAATACAATAATCCAATTTCAAAGAAAATTTCCATGTTTGTGTCCAAGAAATTTATGTTCCCCAAGATTTTCTTGGACCAGTTCCAGAAAACTTCTAAGCCTAGAAAGAGGTATGACAATTTTTCAAATATTCTATTTAGTAACTTATGATGATGAAAGATAGTTTAAAAACACAACAGTATGCCAGTATTTGTTTTTCTAACCCAGAAATAATCATATATAAAGATACCCAGAAAAGTGCTTACCTACACAAGTGTGGTTGTTCGATGCTAATTGAAATCCTGGATTGCACTGGCAATAATAGGACCCAGGAGTGTTCACACATCTATGGTGACAATATGGAGGGAGGGTGCATTCATCGATGTCTGAATTACCACAAGAGCAAAACAGTAAAAAATGTTAGTACAGATTAATCACAACAGTTTACTGCTGCCAGCTTCTGTCCAAATAAAATGCAAAGTTAATTAGATCTGAATAAGGAAGTAAAAAAGAAAGGAGCTAATATAAAGCTAGAGTTTACTCTTGCTAAATTTAATGGGAGCAGCACTGTTCCCTTTCCATTCATGAAGTAATTTTTGTTCAAATCTCTCTATGGTCATTGTTAAACCAATGTGGTGTCAATACATATAAAGGCCCTCCTTTATTTGGTGGCTATGGTATAGTATGGTATTGAAATCTATTAATTTTTGTTGACTATCACATGCCTCATTTTGGTTCTGAAACCCAGAACAAGCATCCTGATCACTTCTTAACCAGACCTAATGACAACCAGAATACTAAGTGTGGTTCATACACTCCTTTTCTGTGCAAAAGCAGAGTAACAAATTAATGCTTAATCTCTTTTGGTCTCTTTAGAGAACCCAAATCCTTCTCTGTTCTAAGTGCAAGAATGTATAAGAATGACAGGGGTATGTGATCTGTCTACATAGACAACAGAGATTAGGCATGAAAAAGAAGTGGGGTTCTGGAGTTCGATGGAGACATGGGCTCCATAACCCCACAGCTATACCTCTTGACTGTTCCCCACTCTTAAACTCTCTTACGTTCTTTCTGAAGTTAGTACCACTAAGCTACCAGCTGCAAGCCTGTAGCTGTTTTCTTTGACTGTGTGAAGGAAAATCAGATTGCATGACTGAAGTCAGTGCTATCTCAGGCAGTATTACCTCGTTCATGCAGGTTAACCATAGTTTAAGGTACGGTAGTATGCTGCCTTTCCCAGTTCTGGCATTCCTCAGGTACACTGGAGCGTGCAAACTACATAAAGTGCAGAACGGCTGTCTTAATCTTTTGCACTTTAGATGGTGTGCATGGAGCTGCTGGAGTTCCTGCCTCAGCTCATGTGGATCTGCAAAACACTTTCTCCTACTAGCTAAATTGGCCACGCATGCATGTGCACAATCTTCCTTAGGCTGTGCCCTTCTTGAGTGTAGTCAGAAAAATCCACACAGTGTCTTGTGCATGAACAGAATGTCATTTTTTTCCCAGCGGCTTGGCTTTCAGTCAAATAAATCCTGGTTTTCACTGAAATGAAGAAAGGAACTTCCCATTTCCATGCCAAATTTTGAATTTCCTACTTCCAGCTGTTTCCACTGTAGATGTGCTTTAGAAAGAAGCCAAGAGTTTTTATAATGGGAAAGCATTACTTTTTTCACTTAATATTAAATATTAGTTAACCCTCTTCACACAAACTTAGTATTTATATTCTGAGGCCAGATCCTAATCAGTGTTTAGGTAGTGAAGTGAAAAAATGGGCTTAGGTTGAAAACCCTTTTGCAGCCTTCACTATTGTAATGGTTGTCATTACAACTGTTTTATAGCAGAGAGAATTCATGAAGTAGAAGAGGGATGGACCAGAAGATCCAGCAAATCCTTTCCATCTCTGGTTTTTATAGAACCTCATTGTAGCAGGACACGGTGGTGTGCCTGCCGTTTTTGGGGGAGAAGCTGCCTGAGAGGCAGCTTCCAGGTGGTGTGGGGGCTGACGGGGTCTCACCTGACCAGCAGAGGGCCAGGCTAAGACTAGATAAGCCCAGTGTCTGAGCCGGTCAGGGAGCCTAGCTCTGATAGCCTGAGGAGAGGAGCTCTCTGCAGCATGGCAGAAGGACTCCTGAAGGGCCCAAGAAGGTAGGGGATGCAGAATGACTCTGCAGGCCTGGGAGCCACAGAATATTCCTCGGGGCAGAGAAGAAATGGTTTATGCAAACAAGGCACCTTTGTTTATGTTGGTATTATTGCTTGAGTTACAAGCCTTGAGCCCTGATGGAGAGAGGCTCAAGACCTACAGAGAGTTCTCCAGCCTGGAGAAGGGGCTGAGTGGGGTATAGAGGGCAAGGGGATAGAGCCTAGCAGCCCAGAGAAGGGGCTGAGTGAGGTACAGAGGGCTCCCCAGCCCAGAGGAGGGGCTGAACAAGGGAACAGAGCCCTCCAGCCCAGAGAAGGGGCTAAGCGGGGTACAAAGGGCTTCCCAGCTCAGAGAAGGGACTGAGCCAGGAAACCGAACAGAGGACCTGCTGGCCAGGAAGAGTCGAAACAAGGTATTAGAAGGTATACAGTCTCCAAGAGGGACTGCGTGAGGGGTGAGGGGTCTGAGGACCCAGAGAAACAGGGTGGAGAGACCCAGAGGGTCTAAGAGTCCTGAGAGGGACTAAGAAAAGCTAACATCTGAAATGATAACACCTGCGAGGTTTGGGGTGTGATGTAGTGCGGGAATCCAGCCACACAATTTGGCCATAAGGCTACAGATGCCCTGCAGGGGCACTGCCAGGCTGAGAGAGCCTACTTAGCATTGAAAGTAGTGGGGTCTGGGAGGGACTCATTGAGGAGCTGATTGGATTCAGGCTCTTTGTCTAACGCCCATGGGTAGCCGCCCTTACTTAACCTCAATAACAGTAAAGCATGGTGGGTGAGCAATTAAGGGAGGGCAACATTAGAGACGGAGCCGGGCAGGAGCCACAGCAGTAGCTGTACCAGGGGGTCTCAAGGCCACCCCTGGGGCATGAATCTGCTACATTCATCCTCACGAACATGCAATGGCTATTTAAAGCCCATACGATACAAATTTAGGCATGGGATTAGTATCACTGAATCTTTGAGTTCCGTGGGGCTACTCGTATGTCTGAATGTTTGCAAGGCAGGATTCTAATTCATGGGGATTTTGCTTGGAGGAATAGGGTGCATCTTTTGTGTGTGCATGTGATTCTGTAACAGGCTATAAGATTCTGTAACAGGCTATAAGATGCCTTAGGTTAGTAAGATCTGGTCAACAGAGCCAAATGTGTGTTTGAAGCAATGTTGCCGAAAGTGTTACCTTGCATTTGCAGCCCCCATTTTTCAGAAAATAACATCTTTGCTATATCTGAACACATGACTTAAAAAAAAACAAATCAAAGTATAAAAAGAATCATTCAGGTTTCTAGATTAAATTAAAAGTAAAAAAGAAAGAACTAGAAATAGGTTTCCACCTCTGCCCCCATTTCCCCTCCTCCCCCCCTTCCCAACCAGCCTTCAAGCCAAAAATATCTGGAGCAATTTCACTCCAATTTCAGAGGAACACTTCCTCCCTGTTGAGAGTCTATAGCAAGATTTAGTCCCAAAGGAATATTTTTGGCTGAGGTATTACAAAGCCTCAAAAGATGGGTTTCATTTTGAAGTGCTGACACTACAGACTGTAGCATTATTTTTATGATGTATTCTATTTTGACCTACATTAGTGATATATCCTTCTTCACTTCATCAGCCCGTCTTGGTTTAGACAGATGTAGGAGAAATTTCTCCTTCTAAAGTTGTTAATTATACATAAATCATGAAAAATGTAAGTTGTGCCATGTGGATTTCTTACTGTCAGGGTTGCAATATGTTTCCTATTAAACCTTTAAGTAGTACTCTAGCTCAGCTGATATTAAAAGGAGTAACTAACTGCACACTGGAATACATGCCTACTCTTACATTCTAGAGAAAATGTAACATTTTTACATGTATCAACAACCTGTCAAAAGTATTCCCCTACCTACATTCCAAACTACTCATCCTACTCCTCCACATAAAACTAACAAGTATTGGAAGGAGCTCTGTTTACAGAAATCTGCTTGTCAAGCACCCGATCCAAAGCCCACTGAAGTGATTAAGAGTCTTTCCATTGATTTTCATGGGCTCTGGTTCAGACCCTGAAAGAAAAGGTGTACAGCTTTCTTTTTTACCAAGCATTTAAATAGTAATAAAACCAAACAGCTATTGATATTACCCGTTCTTCCCTCCCAGTAATCCCTCTAAGGGGACTGCTAAGGGGACTGCTTGAATCTTAGCAAGCCTTCTAAACACAGATTAGGGAATTTGCAAAACTTTCAACTGCAAAACTCCTGATCTGTGAAACACTGGAGAACACCTTGAGTTTTTGTCTTGAAAATGCCTTTCCCTCACCTTGTCTGATACAAACGTTGCATCTTGTAGAGATCCTATTGGGTTCATCATGTTTGATTTGATTTCACACTTGTTCTCATACATATAATAAATGCAGAGCATAAGACCGATCCCTTATGAAAAGGCAACTTCCACAGAAGTCAAGATTTAAGAGGTGCTCTGTAAGAACTGCAGGTTCAGAAAGATGGCGTCTTTGCATATCTTTTCAGGCCACTATCTTTCAGAATATTCCTGGAGGAGATTGGACTGTGTAAGATATAACTGAACAATGTGGTTTAGTATATCACTATATTGGCAGAAGTGCTGCAGTCTGATTTGCACAAATCCTGTTCTTTTATGTATTTGGGCTTATAATGATCCCAGTGGTGTCAGTAGATCAGTCTCCAGCCCCTACTCCTGGCACTAAGAGTAAAGACAGTGGTTAATGTGTGATAAATTTCATACCTCTGGGCCCAGAGCTTCCACTGGTTTGTTTTATGCAAATAAATAAGTGCAACTGAATTCTATTGTGAAAGTAAGCTCTTCAGACTGGGTCTTTCTATGTGTCTCTACAGTGTGCCTAGGCCTGAAATGCTGGATTCCACTGAAGTTGATGGAAAGACTCCCATCCACTTACAAGGGACTCGTGACTGTGCCTGGGGCCATTGAGTACTACCCAATACAAGTAAGGCATAACATAAATAGCTAAGTAATTTTTTGTTGGAAGCTCAATTCAAAGTTGAGAATACAGTATGCTTAAAATACCTGCTAGCTCTATCCACTAGAAATTATTGCCTTGTTCTCCCACAATCTACCAAAACTATGTGGCAAGGTATTTATGAAGTCTGAAAATTAACCTAGATAGCCAAAGAACATGGTTTATGCTAGTACACTTACCGATGCATTGTTCTCCTCGTTTCTGGAAACCAGGGAGACACTGGCATCTGAAGGACCCTCTTAAATTGACACATGCTTGATCTGTCCTGCAGTTATGGGCTCCTGTTGCACATTCATCTATATCTTTATAAAACAGCAAACAGAAAATTAGTTATAAACTCTGGTTCAGGCGCTCACAGTTGAAGAATCTGTATTCATCACCTCCACCCCAAAGGTGCTTTTTTTCTTCCCATAGCTTATTCTGTTTACAAAATACAAGCACATTTTTTGGGGACAAAAACACAAAGCTTTCTAGTAGTCCTTAACTCTCACCTATATTTCTAATATATATAATTTTTCCAAAACCATATATTTTAGGCAGGGTTAGTAGCACTGCTTATTATTAAGGTTGCCTTATAGAATCATAGAAAGCTAGGGTTGGAAGGGACCTCAGGAGGTCATGTAGTCCAGCTCCTGCTCAAAGCAGGACCATCCCCAACTTGATCATCAGCTAGATCATCCCAGCTAAAGCTTTGTTTTGCCAGGTTTTGAAAACCTTCAAGGATGGAGCTTCCACCACCTTTTTGACTAACCTGTTCCAGTATTTTACTACCCTCCTAGTGAGAAAATTCTTTCTAATATCTAACCTAAACTTCCCTTGCTGCAACTTGAGACTATTGCTCCTTGCTCTGTCATCTGCCACCACCGAGAACAGTCTAGTTCCATCCTCTTTCGAACTTCCCTTCATGTAGTTGAAGGCTGCATGTAGTTGAAGGCTCAGTCTTTTCTTTTCGAGGCTAAATAAGCCCAGTTCCCTCAGTGTTTCCTTATAAGTCATGTCCCCCAGCTGCTTCACCATTTTTGTTGGCCTCCACTGAACTCTCTCCAATATCTCCATATCCTTTCGTAGTGGGGAGCCCAAAACTGAACAGAATACTCAGGATGTGGCCTCACCAGTGCTGAATGGAAGGGAATAGTGACTTATCTTGACCTCCTGGCAACACACCTATCAATGCAGCCCAGTATACTGTTAGCCTTCTTGGCAACAAGGGCATACTGTTGGCTCATATTCAGCTTATTGTCCACTGTAACCCCCAGGTCCTTTTATGCAGAGACATTGCCCAGGCAGTCAGCCCCCAGCCTGTACTGATGCATGGGATTGCTCTGTCCTAAGTGCAGGACTTTGCGCTTGTCCTTTTTGAACCTCATGAGATTTCTTTTGGCCCAATCCTCCAATTTGTCTAAGTCATTCTGAATAGTGTATGATTGCACAGGTAACTACAATTCAGAAATTTCCTAACCACTGACTATTTGCAATTTTATTTTAAAAACTACATTAAAGGAATATTATAAAAATCAGTGACACATTTTAATGCACTTTTCCATCTAGACTGAATGGATATATACATGTACATGTGTGCATGTGAGTGTGTGTAGTTATACATGTGTGTGTGTGTGTGCGTGTGTATATAAAAGTGACAATGATTGGTATTTAACAACAACACTTGAAAATTGTTTCTGTTAAAAAAACAAATTACAATTTGTTTTATCATTTAAAAATCCAGCTTGTTTCTTACTGTAACCTGACACTTCACAATGAAAGGATTTTGACATTTTGGAGAATGTAGGCTGAATAAACAAATTCCTTAAGATGTATGATCTCTAGTTTACAAATTTCAGCTGAACTCACTATTTGTACAGGCATTAGGGATCTTCGAAATTCACCAGTGGCACATTCTGGGTGGTGCTTTGGAAAAAATTATGCATTCTTTCACATAAAAATAAAAACAATTTTGACCATGCAATTCAATAAAAAATAAACCTTCAACAGTTTAAATTAATTCCGAGTGTTTGCCTTTTCCCAAATGTCCAAATATTTTAGACATACTGCTTTTATTTGACAGGTCAAACTCTTGTGCTGTCCTGTCCTCTGTATGTCTGAAAGGTTCAGTTCTGCAGCCACCATACGTATATGGAACTAGCTGGCTTCATTCTTCCGCACTATCAGAGTAAAAGTTCATTCTCAGTTGTAGAGCAAGATTTAAAAGACCTATATTAAGTTAATATAGAACAGACATATAATTAAGGGCTTGATCTAAAGCACAGTGGGCGCATCTACTAGTGCGCTTTACTGTGGAGTAGACAAATTATCTCAACAGTAGGGTATCTTCATCTACAAGTGGGCTGGCATCTTATAGCCTGTTACAGAATCACATGCACACACAAAAGATGCACCCTATTCCTCCAAGCAAAATCCCCATGAATTAGAATCCTGCCTTGCAAACATTCAGACATACGAGTAGCCCCACGGAACTCAAAGATTCAGTGATACTAATCCCATGCCTAAATTTGTATCGTATGGGCTTTAAATAGCCATTGCATGTTCGTGAGGATGAATGTAGCAGATTCATGCCCCAGGGGTGGCCTTGAGACCCCCTGGTACAGCTACTGCTGTGGCTCCTGCCCGGCTCCGTCTCTAATGTTGCCCTCCCTTAATTGCTCACCCACCATGCCTTACTGTTATTGAGGCCCTAGCTCAGTAAACTAATTAACTCTACTGAAAGTCATGTGTAAATGCTGACCACAGGACTAAATTGTGGCCAGTCAGCCCAGCCAGCTGGGGGTCTGCTTTGCCCTGACTCAAATTGCTGCTGTCCCGGGCATGCGTGTAGATGCTGTGCCTGGGAGTAGTTTACTCCAGCTCAAACAGCTCTGGAGTTTATTGCTTTGCAGTAATTGCACATGTAGATGCATCCAGTGAAATCTACTGCAGTTTTTCCAGTGACTGTAGTGTGCTTGGTATGAACTCCTACTTCCTACAAAATAGGGAAGAAAGATGCCTACAATGTTCATATTGTTTCATCTCCTGGATTGTGTTCTTGGAACAAAGCATATTTAACCTCTGAATGCTTGTCAACATGGACACATTTAGAAAGTTAATCTGATTATTTTTAAAAGGATTATTATACTGAATTGAACCCTTTTGTGGATATTCATATTGAAAATTAAAGTAGCTTTAATTCAGTTGCACTTATTTCACTTTGGAAAAGTGAAGTATTACTTTCAAAAGAAGTAAGCTAAAGTCAGCTGGGCCACTTCCATTCTGAAAAAATAGTATCCATACAGGAGCTAAATGATCCACTTTGAAGTCACATAATCAGTTAATGTGGGTTAATTTTCCTGAATATTTCTGTGTAGGAAACCCCTCACTGGGACTAAATGGTTAAGGGTCTCACTGCTCCAGAGCAAGCAATATTCTAAGTAGCAGGCCTCCCCAGGGCAGTAAAACTTCCACCTACTAGGCACTCCAAAAGCATATTACAATACAAAAGAGGAAATAAATGTTTATTTAATTTGTTCTTTGCGAACTGCTTGGTCTTTGGTGAAAACTTTGGTACAACTGACTTTCATTAAGGACTTTTTAAACTTTAACCCATCACATAATGTACTATTGCTTCCTTCTCAGAGATACATTTTTTTAATTGTTAGGCCATTTTAACATCATTAAAATAAGTTTTTTCATTCACTGTTGCTTTATTGGATTGTTAGATACAGTTTAGTCTCAGAAGTGGGGACTATATGTCAAATGGCTTCTTATTTTCTGCTATAAACTAGGTAAGTGCATTTTTCCTAAGCTCTTACTACAGTCTGCCAGATGATAACTCTTGGAGACAGTGCCTTGCTTCATCTGGAAATAACAATTTTTCCTTTGCATGTGATACAAGTATCCTTGTACCTCCAAAAACCCTAACCTAACCCTATCATTTGGTTGAGGATGTCACTACATCACAGATAAGCTTTACTTCTATACAGTTCATTTCTACATAGATCTAATATATGCTAAGATCTTTTTGTTCCCATGCAAGAAGAATGCATGTATCTTTATAATGTCTGTTTGTAAAGAATGTTAACTTATTTCATAAGTCTTGTGACGTTTTGAGATGTTATACTTGTGGAATCCACTCTGTGGTGCATGTGCCCTATGTAATTTAAACTAGATTATTTCTGAACAGCAGTGTTCATTATGGCGCACCTCTGCCCTACATGGCCTTCAGACCACTGTAGATGAGGGTACAAAAGGCAAAGTACCTTCAACAACAACTTTCTTCCTTCAAAATAAGAACCTTGAGAATAGGGCCCCAAATTAGTGGTGAAAAAGGGAGTTCATGGGATCTGTGCAGAAAACATTTACTGTAAACTACATAACTATTCTCTCTTCTTTTTCTTCTTTCTGCAACTTTGCTCACACAAATTCTACTCTTAACTGATTAACAAGCAGTTATCTTGAGTTAGGTCCTATTAACCTAGTAGAAGAGGGGGGCTGTCACTTGAAAAAAAGCACTGGGTGTTGCCCTTCAAATATCTTAACACCATGGGTTGTGAAAATGCATTGTAATCCTGTAGAATTAATAGTGGGGGTTGCTGCTAAGTGTACTCTGACAGTCTAGATTTTTTCAGAGGAAGCAAATAAGACAGGATAGTTAGAACTGAAGCCGATAGCTCAGAGAGCTGTTGCTGAACCACCTAGATGGACAATGCTTCCTCTTAGTTATTCTGGTAGAATTCCTATTTTGTGAACGATGTTTGAACATCAGGCAAGTAGCCACACTCTAAAGAAGTTGTTTAACCAGCATTTGCACAGTTGAGTGCAAAGATGCTGGATTTCATAGATTTCATAGACCTTAGGGCTTGAAGGGACCTTGGAAGATCATTGAGTCCAGCCCCCTGCCCCAGGGGCAGGAAGTCAGCTGGGGTCATAGGATTCCAGCAAGATAAGCATCCAAATGTCTCTTGAAGGCATTCAATGGGGGTGCTTGAACCACCTCTGATGGCAGGCTATTCCAGACCTTGGGGGCTCGGACAGTAAAGAAATTCTTCCTTATGTCCAGCTTGAAATGGTCTTGCAGGAGTTTAAAACTGTTCAACCTTGTTATCCCTTGGGGCACTCTGGTGAACAAACATTCCCCCAGATCCTGGTGAACACCCCTGATAAACTTACAGGTTGCCACCAGATCATCCTGAGCCTGCGCTTTTCCAGGCTAAAGAGTCCCATAGCTCTCAGCCTGCCATCGTAAGGTCTGTTTTCCTGACCTCTGATCATGCATGTGGCTCTTCTCTGGACTCTCTCAATCTTCTCCACATCC